GGAGGAAGGCGTTGATGTTGAGTTAGCATTTTAAGTTCACATTACAAAGGCAAATCAGTAAAATATAATACACAGTACACAATTAATTTACCATACGCAGGTGTTGAATCAATTCTAACCCCCCTACTCAAACCCTCAAGCGATAATGACATAATCTATCGAATGACTTACTGTATATTTGCATGTATATATGTATTTACCATATCTCTGCAATCTTACCTTATCTTACCTTATCTTATCTTATCTTATCTTACATTATCTTATCTTACCTTACCTTATATTAGCTTACCATATCTTATCTTATCTTATCTTATCTTATCTTATCTTATCTTATCTTATCTTATCTTATCTTATCTTATCTTATCTTATCTTATCTTTCTCTGTTCCCCCCTACCAGGTGGCTCATGTGGTCCTGAGTTTCGTCATCATCTTCATCGTGTGCTGGCTGCCCCGCTACGTGTACGTCATGTGGTTCCACTTTGACCCCAGTGACTATTCCCTCTTCTGGCACACCTTCAAGATCACGGCCTTCTGCCTCAAGTTCATCAACTCGTGCGTCAACCCATTCGCCCTCTACTTTCTCAGCGGCCAGTTCCGGAAGTTCTACAACCGCTACCTCTTCTGCTGCTGTCGTCGCGTTCGCTACACGAGCCTGGAACCCACCTCCACCATGCACCATCTACACAGCACTACCAGACGCTCTAGTCCCACCAACATGTCCATGGTACATTCGCAGTCAATGTGCTGACTAGGCCTGGGCAAATGGGTCACCCGCAGAACGCCAATAGCACGGAAAAGCGGCCGTAGGTCAAGGACGGTCTCGTTTGTCGCGGATTCGTCTGGACGTCTTAAGACCAGGCCCAGTAGGTTTGCTGATATGGCGGTTTGACTGATGCAGGTTTGACCCATTTAGTTTTGCCCACTGAACATTCGCTCAATGGCTACGTGTTTTGCGGATAAAGGACTTCTGAAGTTCAGATGAAAGGAAAGGCATCCATCGAACGTTCATAAATGATAGGTGGACAGACTGATGAACTTCGGAATTTCAACAGTGAGGTTCTTTGCCTTGTGTACAACAGGTTACTTTCCAAGTGGGGAAGATGATATTATTTTATCTCCTTCTTTTCCAAAGTGACATAACTCACACAGCATGATCTAACACCTAAAGACAAGATAGAAGCAGCTGTCTTCATAAATGGTCTTGACTGAGTCGACGCGTACGTCAAACACTCATTACGTCAGTTGCTAATTTAGACACTCACACAAAGAGACAGGTTTCTCAAGTATACCAGCGGTGGTCTCGTACTTGGAGCGCATGACACTCACTCTTGGGGTGTCAAGTCTGGCCAGGTACAGCCACCTCTCAGTTTCTTGGACAACTTGTTTTACTTCAGGGACCCACGAGTCACTTAACGGTTGCCTGTTTGAATAAAGTAGAAAGGTGTTATGGTTTTAGGAAGTTCCTACAACGTTTGGAGCACCGAATGCTGACTAGTGGCCTTGGCCACCAGGATTCCAATTCCCCAAGTGTATTTCCAAGTGGGACATTTCTAGAGATTCAATTACTCCACACTTACGGACTGTTTTGATGATAGTTAGCAGTATTATTTGTGCTGTTGAAGGCATGACACGCACACCGTATTGATCGCTCAGAGTCACCTACTCAAAGCACCTCGTTCAGACTTTACACAACAAGTAAGCCAACATCCTTCACAGGGTGATGTCTGAGCCCTGATCATGACACACTCTGTCTGACCCCTCTCACGCTAGGCTCTTGGACATAATACGATGGTGATTTTAGAATGGCTGAGGTGCAGAAAGCTCGGCGAAAAAAACTCTTACTAGATAGCTGACCGTGTTGCACAAGACTTTAAGAACAAACACTTGCTAGATGGATGAATGTGGGGACATGATTTTCCACACCCATCTATTTTTCCGAAGCAGGATGCGTTTGGAATGAGAACAGTTTTTCGGGCTCATTTCTTGCTGTAAATATGTTCATAGATTAGACATCCTTTTTGTTGCCTCTTGAAGTACCATGTTCTTTTTTTGGTGTGGGGGGGAGGGGGTGGTTGTGATAATAATATGCTCGGCATGTGTAGGATCTGATATGTCCTCCGTGTGATGGGGGCCAGGATTGTATAATATTAGGGAAACTGCATAGTGGCCTCCAATCCTCATAGTGTCTCGGTGATTTGACATTCCGGGGAATGGGCAATGGGTTCGTTTTTCTATACACTAGAGCAACAACCCTGTTAAACAGTACAGAAATCTTCTCACAAACATAATCAGGTGCCTGAACCGCCATTACTCATAACAACAGAGTAAGCAAAAGATACATAATGTCTTTGAAGAGACAAATGACATTTAAGTACTTTATTTAGAAACGTTGATGACTGGACCGCTTGCTTTTTGCATTTGTGCTGCTCAGGTTATGGATGGGAATCACAAAGTCAGGCGGTTATTGGCAGTGTTTGTATAAATTATGATAATCTTACTTCCGCCAGTACCCCATAATGATGCGTAAACACAACCGCAGCAGAGCTGAACTGTGTAGAATTTTACCGGTAAGACGTTCTCAGCATGCCGAGATTTCAGAACAAGGAAATACCTGTGCTGTTGGTGGGCGTGTCACGGAAATCCTTTAAAGTGTTTGGACACTCGATGAACTCATTGTCACTGGAAACTGTTTTATCAAAAAGACGACCAAAAAGAGTTTGCACAGTACAGACGGAGAGGGTGTTACAAACTGTTGTGGTTGTTCGGTATATTAAGTGGGTGAGTGTTTCTGTTCTTGGGGAAGGAGGGCAGTTGGAAAGGAAGGGGTATGGGGGAGTGTCAAGGAGTATTTCCACTCCCATTTTTCTCGAGATATACCATGAAAGACGAAGCGGGCAGAAAAAAAGACGGGCAGAATATGACACCCAGAATGTCTCACCGTATGCTGCCAGTGTCTGAGCCTCAATGGGACCCCGGCATTTTGGACTTTCGTCAATTCAACTGTTGATGCCGTCAGCGCTCTCTTTTCGTCGCCACATCTGTTTTTGCATTGGTCTCTCTGTCTTCGTTGGAGTGTTATATAATAGCTGTACAATATCAGGATTTTGGTGAAAGAGCAAAGCCGAGTAAGGTCAATTATTGCAAGCAAAAGTAGGACATGTTAAAATTAAAGTACTCTATACTGACGTAAGCACATTTGGGGTAGGAAAATATTTTATCTTTACTTGCATTTGAATCGATATTGGGCTCAGAAGAGCTGAAAAAGGCCGAGCACAATGTAAACAACTGCAAAGTATCTAAGTATTACGATGTTAAGTAGCGATTAATAAAAATAAGCTCATAGCACCTACCCTCCCCATCCCAGACCCCGCAGTTATCCCAGGCACTGAGGATCTTGGGAGTCACCTGAGAAGCTTCCTTTTAGAGCGTCGGTTTATGAAAACAGTATCATTTTGAGACGACCATGTCATCTTAGCTTTGTTTTCCGAGAATGTTTTGTGTCTTTGATAAACCTTTCGCAATACTTCATTTTCGACCATGTCTGCAGTCATTCCAGAATCTTACACCGGAATATTTGGTTTCGTCTGCGTCTTGGTCCTTTTGTCTGTGCTGTCGCTAGCGATATTGTTATTATCACTTGATTTGAAAGAAAAAGAAATGTTTTTATATCCTTGCAGTTTGCTAACAAATACCGGGCTGTCTGGCATTATGGCTATGGTTACGTTTCTGATGCGAGTACGGTTACTGAGTAAAAGCATAATTACTTCCTGTTTTGACCGAGAGGTCGAAAGAGGGCGCTCCCCCCCCCCCCCCCCCCCGAAGCTCACTTACAATCCCTTTAGTAAATTATAAGAAGGCGAGGCCGATTTTAGCTCAGTCTACAAAGCGTTACTGAGTTTAGGTCAGCTGGAGGTGTTTTTTAAATGGCTCTCGGGCTCGGTCTTGTTAAATATGGACATGGTGTCAAGGGTGAAAAGCGTCAAACGAACGCCAAACATACCAGACGCTGACAGAGGTGTAGAAACATTAATTTTCTTCTACTGCTGTGCAATATGCCTGATGAAAAGCCATTTAGCACCGGTGCCCGCTGGGAGTAACAACTGTGTTTTGGAATAATTATCATAGTTACTCTGTGGCTGCTGTGCCAAGATATTAAGATAATTTCGTGTGACGTCAGAATATCCCACAGCTCCTTTCTTCTCTCTATCTCAATTCTCTTTTTTTCCTCGTTCCGTATTGCCTCTCCCTCTATACAACTCTTCTCTCATTCCGTCTTTTTTTCTTCTCTCAATCCATTTCACTCGCTCGACCTCTTCGTCTTCCAAGTGGGAACTGGAAGCATTGGTCTGTGCCTGTAGAAATATTTCAGATGTCTGTTTGACTGCATAAAGTACGAGTAATCCTTGCGGATATAAGGTGAAAGACCTGCCCCTCATAAGACCTTATTGTGTTGAAAGGGGGTTAAATCCGTAGCGTATTCTATTGGTAGTGTATCTGGAAACTTAGAGAATTGTCCTGCATCTCAGCAAACATTTACTATAATCCGATTTTGTTCGGTTATAATGATGGAGATAAGTGGGAGCGAGGACTGTTTAATCTTAATGAATTAGGGATCAAGCTTAGTCTACGTTACGCCAATGAAATATGGTTTTATTAAGTTGTTGGTTGCTTTAATAGACTTATTTGGTTTTTTTTTACTTTTAGCTGCTTTTTGTTTTCAAAGATTTATTGATTTGTTGTACATTCAAATGATCCATCTCTTTATTTAAAGTTAATAAGTGATACTGTGATGATGAAGAATCTTGTATGTGTGTGAATCTCTCTATGTCTCACTCTCTTCCCCCCTCTCTCTCTCTTTCTCTCTCTCTCTC